TCTCTTTTTCTCTTTTCCCGGACATGCAAAACCTTTGGGGTATAGAGAGAGCTAATTTTGGACATTTGTCGTGCTCTCTCGATAGAAAAGGTTTTGCGTTTTTACGACTTCCGAATCTGGTACCCCCTGATGACGTCAGCTTCGAATGTCATTAATATAGTTTCCATTATTTTTCTTGCTTTCTTTTTTAAAATTTTCTACTAATTTCAATTTTCTTATGGAATTTCTGCTGCATCATGCAACAATTATTTTAGAATTGTAATTTTAAAATGTTTTTTGCACGATTAATGGTTTCGCGTTCAATTACTATTTACGTTTCTGATTAAGATGCGATTTCTTGACGAAATGACTGCCAGAAATATAGCTCAACAATTACTGAATTGTCAAACATGAGATTTTTAATTCTACCAGAGTTTATATCTATCAAACACAAATAAAAGTGTAAAAATTTTGCGCATTAAGATTTAAGTTCCAGGCAGTGCCACTCTTATTTTCATAGATTAGAAATCCCTGATCTAGATTCCCCAAGAAAGAAATTCTGTTTAAAATCTATCTACACACAGTCCCTGAAGATAATTATATAATTTTTTTCATCGATCGTAGAATACCTTTTTTTTTATGATTTTGGTGAAAGAACAGTTTTTGCACAGTCTTTGAAAAAAAAAAGTGAAAGTTATTTCGAGAGAATAATTGATTTCACAGTCGAATAGAGTCTTGTTTCTAGCCTAAAGGTTAAAAGATTTTTTTTTTATTGCTTATATATGCGATAGTGTTAAGATAGAGAAATCTACGTGATATATTTTGTCCTGCCTGAATGGATTGAATGAAAAATATAGAAGAAAAAAGGTCGTGACAAAATATCCTCAGGGTATAGGTTATAAAAAAAGATGCAGAAATTTCCGCTTTCTCTATAAAAACCAGATATCTATAATTCTGTACCGTTAGATGAAATTCTTTTATCAGCCTAAAATAAATGCTAGAAATATGCATTTAAATTTATCACTAAATGGTAGAATAATTTTTTCTCGTTAAGTAAAAAGTTTTATTTATTGCTATAGGCAGAAAAAAAATCAGGTTGCAAAATTTTTTAGTATAAAACAATCAGGTTAACACAATAGAGAAAAACACTTTAAGTATAAAATTACGTAAAAACAAATAGTCAATTTAACTTGAAATACAGGTGGATTTTAAATGTACAGATTTAAAGGGATATATTTAAATTGACAACTACATCTTAATTCATTTTTGAGATGCCTATTCTATAGAGTCCTTAGTTTGGAAAGATGAAGTGGAGGTGTACTAGTTTTAAAATAAGAAAGAAATGCTTTTTTGAACATGAAAGTGAAACTAACTCCATTTTTTAAATGCAGATTATTATGAATTTGTTGAGTTCCTTTTTTTAAAGTCTTTAATGAAGTTAAGAATTCACGTTTTTAAGATAACATATTACAATAATAAATTTTAAAACTTTATAGTTTAATGATATAATTTAAAATGTTTAAAGTAGTGTGAAAACACTATTTTGTATTTTTCCAACGTAAATATTTGGTAGAAACATTCATTTTTTTGTAAGAAAATGGTCCCGCAGTAGACTGATCGTTAAGTCACGATTCCCAGCAATTCTCCGAAGTCAATCATCACTAACTGTGGTCAGTGTGCGGGTGAGTGCCTGGTAAGAGATCGAGGATGTGCGGTGTTGGTCCTCGTTAAACTGTTCTGCCGTAAAGTACTAGACTTCGTGCGCAGGTCGACGGGCTAAAGAAGCAGGAGAGCAATCCATTTTGCAAAGGATTAAAATTGTAATGATATATCTTTGGATCATCCTCAGGGATGTTTCCCAGACCGTCGCCTATAGCCCATTGTGCAGCTGTAGTGCGACGTAACTATACTACTACTACTTATAAGAAAATAGGAACTCTTGTATTTGATAAAAAGCTTTTTCAGAAAAAGTGTGGTGGTAGTCTTGTACTAAAGGCGTAATTAGAAAACAAGGCTGAAGCAAAAAAAGAAAGAAAAAAAAAACGAAGTGAATAAATTACAAACGAAGTAACGATTTTTTTTTTTTTTTTTTTTTTTTTGGTTAATGGCGGGCACTTGGGTCTATTTCCCATTGGCCTCAGAAATGCCAGAATTGCCTACTCTCTTATCGTTACCCAGTGAGCACCTATGGCTAAACCATGGCGGTGGAGTAGCGTCGCCCACGTCATACAACCAAAAACCCGTTTATAGGGCGGGTTACATTCACGCAGAAGAAAGGACATAGAACGCAGAGAGAGAATGAAACATCCATGCCCTGAGGGAAATTCGAACTCGCAACCATCGGCTCCGTAGTCAGGCATGCTAACCACTCGGCCACCTGGTCGGCAAGTAATAAATTTACATACTATAATTTCGGCTCTAGCCGAAAGAAAAAACCGAAACTATAGTATGTCCATTTCTGTGCTTTATTATTTGCGCTTTATGAACGTTGTTTTTTCTTTAGTCAAAGATAGAGTCAAAAAGTGTACTCTATATTCCTTGAGGATTCAGAAAAGACTCAGCTTCAACATGTGGCACATTTAGATGACATGTTTTAGAGCATCTTCTAAGTTGTATCGAAAGTAAAATTCACCTATTCTTTGCAATTGTTTTTAAAACTTTCATAATATTTGGGATTAAACTGCACATTTTAAAGTTTTAAATTCCTTATCCATTTTTTTTAACTGCGCTGATTTCTTCATGTTACCCTTTCAATAGTTCTTAAGAGTGAGTTGAGAAACGTTTTAGTTTTTATTTTCGTCTCTACAGTGCGAAAATGTTGCAGCAGGTAAAGAAAATAAAAATACTTTAAAAAAAATTTCCGTTAAAGCATTTTAGTATTTATTAAATATAATTAATTATTTTTGTGTTTTTTTTAATAGCAGAAACTATACATAAAATACAGTAAAAAATTAACTAAATTACTTTTTTTTTACTTATTTATTATTTTCAATACTAAACGCAAATAAATTAATATATGCTTGCGCCATTTTTTTATTACTAATGCATGTAAATTACGTACACATTATTAAATATTAACGAAAAATATGCAGAAAAATATGATCGTTTCAATAGTCAAAAATTGTTAAAAAAAATTTTTTTAAAGGTTTTTGAAGGGAAAAAACATATTTTAATAAACTATAAGCATTTTAAATTTAAATATACAGTAAAATCTAGATTCATCGTTACCGTATCTTTCGTTTTCCCTAGAATATTGTCTTGTTTCATATGTAAGTTTTCAAAGAGCCCTTATTTCCCCAATAGTATCAAATAGAATTGGCCGATTTGCCCGATATTTTACAGCCATTTTACAACCAATATCGGCCCTGTATAAAATTATCAAATTCACCCGATATTTTATATTCATTAACCAGCCAATATAAATCCTATATTGATCCCATAAATTAGTCGATATTGTTCATATACATGTATAGGACCAATATTAAAAAATCGAGACATCCCAATACTGGTTCCTAGGTGCATGTTCATAAAAGGCCCATATTGAGCCAATTTTGAGCCCAACTATGGCCATGGTAAAATTGTTGCTAGGGTCCTTTCACGAATGATATTCTAATAATGTTAATATTTGTTTAGGTCGCTTTTCACACCACCCCCCTCACGCATCCATCATTCAAAAATTTTATCCACATTTGATAAAATTAAGTTGCTTCATTTTGAGAAGGAAAGCAGTAATTCCTGCTGCTAGTGATGATGAAAATTAGGATTTTTTTTACACTTTTGAGAAAATACCTCAAATATCACGTATGTTTTTATATGTTGACGTTGGTTGAAAATATACTTGCAGAAGCTAAATAAGTACTAAGTGATACCGATAAAACGAGACCATTTTTAAAATTTGCAGAAGGCCTCAAGACTTCAGAACAATAAGAAACTATTTGTATTCTAATTTACAAAAAAAAAGAAGAAAAAGAAGACAGAGTTGAAAAATTATTTAGGTGGTTTTACCGAAAAGAATGTTCGAACTGAAAAATTCTATGCATTTTACTTAAATAAATGCGTTTTTTCATCTTTATAGTAGCATAGCAAGTTTTTGTTTAAGGAAAGAAATGATTTTTTATTGGAACTTTCTTATAATTAATGAAAATTAATTAATTTTGAAGTCCAAGACTTCGCTATTGCTTTTCACACTTTTTCAAGTCATTATGTGATATTTTCTGTTGACCCGCATACGTCATTTTTTACTGTCTATCGTTCGCAACGAATAGTCCTTTGAGGAACAAATATTGGAGGTTCTACAGTATAATGTTTCAAAAAAATAGCCAGCACGATATGCTCTCAGAAATATAACTCCCACATTTGACAATTCAGCACTCCATGTTTTTAACTTAGAGAATCATTACGTCAAGAAATCGCGACGAGACGAGAACTCTCAAATATATGACAAAAATGTATCCTCAAATCGAAGTCTCATCATAGTGCATTATGGGACATCGTTATCAAGAATGACGAGGTTGAAGACTAAAAGATCGAAAGTAAAGAGATGAAATAAGCCGACCAGTTTGTATGGTGGTCAAAGAGCAGTAAGATCCCGAATTCAAATCCCTCTTCGGGAATGGATGTAATTTATCTCTATGTTTTATCTGTCCTCCTTGTGTTATTAGGAGGACTTTGAGCCACCTTTTTGATGCCCACGATTAAATAATTATTAGAAAAATTAGATACATTAGGCACTATAAGTTCTTTTTTTTTCTGATGAAAGAAAAATAATATGGCAAATGCTTCTTTAATTTTGGCGAAATTCGCTTTCTCGAAGAGGAAATGACATTTATTTCGTCACTTTAGCGAAATTCTTGCTCGGAAAAAACTTCGTCAAAAATGAAAGTTTAGTGGTATTTAAGTATCCGTTTTTTACAGTGCATATTGAACAAAATGCCTTTGAATAAATGTATCTTAAACCACTTAAGTCTTAGGTGCTCTGTTTACAGCATAGTAGTATAGTCTTAAAACAAAATATTACTCACTTGAGTGCTCCTTTAAAAGCAACTGTATTCTGCCATTCCATGATGAATGTTGGCGTGAGACCTTCACCGTCTCTGTTGCCCATGATCAGTAATCTGGCCTTTTTACCGGCATGCTTGGCCAGTTCACCACAACAGGATGTCATGTTGGCATGCTGAAGAGTTGGTCTTCGTACTTCTTTTCGGCTCACTCCTTCTCGGATTTTCAGTATACGAGCACGTTTACATGCTAGTTTGCTCTTCTGCAATTTACGGATCTTGGTCTTGATAACTGGGAGGAAAAAAAGTAAATCACTGACCGGAATTTTTAATCGTGTTCATACAATCATGGACTGAATTAAAACTTAAAATTATACATTATTTTATGTTTTAGTAACAACTAAATAAGTTTGAACTATTTTATTTCGGTGAGTAAGATTATGTACCTTGCAGCAATACATTGCCAGAGAATTCCACATACCTAAAATGCAACTAAAAACTAATTCGCTTTGAAATATTCCATTTATTTTTAACTTAGGGGAAGAATATGATGATTGATATTTTAGTGCACTGTTGGATTGTCTTACTTGATTAAAAACTTCATTCGCTTCAAAATTATATAAATAGGAAATTACAATAGGCATGTTTCAAGCGCTCCAAAACAGGCACCCATTTTCAAGACTTGCCAGACATGAATGAGGTGAAACAAAAGTGATTGAAATATCAAATGTAAAGTTGCCGACGTAAAATGGAAAAATAAAGGTAAGAAACAAAATTAGAAAAACCACAATAGAAAAATGTAAAACAGAACAAGAGAAACCACAGTGGCTGTGAAGGGTAAATCAAAGTAAAATGCATTTCCATGTACTATGGAGAGATGGCGAGAAACTAATGTGGTTGACAAGGAAATCAGCATTCATATGAATAAAATAAAATTCCATAGAATCAAGTTGAGCTGATATGTTTTTTTATAACTTCGCTTACCTTTGTTTCCTCTCATTCAAGTCAGGCGAATCTTATAAATGGGAGCCTGTTTTTCAGAGCTTGGAACATGCTGACTGTTATTTCCAATTAGTATATTTTTGAAGTGAATGAATATTTTAATCAAGTAACCGAAACGAGTATTTAATCATATTCATATACTCCAAATTACAAATTTAAACTAAATAATTTAAACTTAAAATAAGCAGATAAAACCTTATTTTACATTTTAATGACAGTAAATAAAGTTCGCACTATCATATTTCTATGCATTAGGTTGTGTGCCTTCCAGCACATTAATTCATATCAAGGTTATTCCAAATGTCAAAAATGCAACTAAATATTAATTTGCTTTGAAATATTCAATTTGTTAATAGCTTATTCGAAGAATACGTTAATTGATATTTTAGCTGACTATTGCATCGTCTGCTTAAAATTGAATAATAAGATCTTCCTCGTACGACGCTTTTCAAATTATTGAAAACTGCTTAATTATAGACTTGGCTTTATAATAAATAAACAGGTTGGATAAGAAAATCAGTTTAGATTTCTGAAAAGTACTTATTTTTGAAAGATCTTCCAGAATAAAATGGAACATGATTAATATAATTCTATAAAAAGATATGCGTGTTTTGGAAAAGGATAGAACTAACTTTATGGATGTTTTGAAACAAAAAAAGGAACAAATTCAATAAAAATAATAAATTTTTTAACTGAATAATTTAAATACATAAGGAATCTTTTTACAAACATTTTTTTAATTAAAAGTCGCGTTCACTTAGGACTCGGCAGAAACAGCTATTTTTGAACAATTAACAATATAGTCATATTGAAAGAGTTATTAAATATTTCAGACTTATTTTTATGCCTAACTTTAATTTCAATATTAAACTAAACACACACAAGTTTGAGAAATACTGATATTTAATTATACAGAAATATAAAAGCTCTAAATTGTTATGGACATAGAAATCGGGGAAATATATTTAAATCATTCAAAACAAAATTAACAAAATTATTATATATAAGGTAAGATCGATAATATATATATATTTATAGTAAAAATAGCAAAGCAAAAATGACAAAATAGCATATTTAAGATAAGATAAGCAATATTCGACAGTAAAAATTGATGGATATAGAAATCAGGGAAATATATTTAAATCATTCAAAACAAAAATAACAAAATTATTATATATAAGGTAAGATCGATAATATATATATATATTTATAGTAAAAACAGCAAAGCAAAAATGACAAAATAACAGATTTAAGATAAGATAAACAATATTCGACAGTAAAAATTATTTTTCAAAATAAAATTCACTAAATTATTAGCTCCTCCACATTTTATGAGCCATTTTAATTTTTTTTTCCGGTTCTCTCTTTATGAAAGTGATACTCTTCAATAATTTAAAAGAAAACAAATGAATTCCAACAATGCAAAAACTAATTCACGTTCCAAAATTATTAAGTCAATAACTCCTCCCTTTACATAATAAAAACTAAATAGTAATTTTAAAAAATTATTGTAAAATTCATTAAATTTCATTTGACAACCGATAAATTAAGTTTTTTCCTCTCAGATATAACGAAAGCTTGGGCATATTGTACCGTACTAGTTGTTACTTAATTAAAGCGGCAATTTATGTTCCAGTTTATTACATAAATGTAACCAAAAAGTAAAGAGTTGAAGTAGTAATTTAATTATTCGAGCTTAGAAGATGGATGATTCTGAAAGAGAGTTATTAATCACCTCTTCATTAAAAAGCGAGCTTCCGTTTTTTAAAAAATTAGAGTCGAAAAATTTGATGGATGATAATTGCTGGTGTTGATAGGTATAATTAAAAATACAGAAAAAATATTTGACGTAATTTTGAGTTAAGAGAAAATAAATTGGCTTAATTGATTGAAGGTTACATTTAAATTTCATTTTTTTTTTATCATTTGTGTGTGTAAGGCACTGTTGTTGTGGTAGAGGTTATGTTTAACAAAATTTATGCGGTAAATTTTATTGTCATCGCGTCAATGTATTTTTAGTTAGACAAATATCTTTTTTACTAAGGAAAGTGACATCAATCATTTTATATGATACGAGCACAAAAACACTGTTAATTGAAAAGCTATGTTTTTGAGTAAAGAACGAAAATTAAAAATGTATTGAGTGATTTTTAAATTTCAATGCTTCATTAAAACCCAAATGGACCAAATGTTAAATACAAAACACTTTCGTACAATAGTAATACGTAGTCTTAATTTAGTGATGGAAAAATTCCGGATCAAATTACGGCATAAAATACAAACACTTAAAGCTCATCATCTATAAAATCCATTTTACCGTAAAATAGTATACTCTAAACCTGTACAGTAATATTTATTTAATTAGAGTTATTCAGTGATTTTGCAGTAATTATTACTGTAAAACTCATTGCATATCAGATTTTTATTCCGTAAAACAATAAAGTAAAAAGGAATTTCACTGTAAAAAATTCCGGCAGCCTCAATGCCTGTAATTCTTACCGTAATTTGATCAAGAATCTTTACAATTTACTTTTAAACAGTACAAAAAAAAAATGATTAGATAAAATAAAAATACCATTTGAAAACTTTGGTTCAGATTAAGCATTTTTCTTTCTAAAATAAAATACTAACAATTTTAAGGTTTTTTTTATGGAGGGTCAACAACATTTTTGACAATAAATGTTAAATTATCAGGCTAACAAATAAACAAAGACCATCAAAGTGGGGAGGGGGGAATTTCAGTTAATTTTATATTTGTTATTTCATATTCATTTCAGAAATATATCACACAGTGATTTTTTAAGCATTCTTTCCGTTTTAAACAAAAATTTTATTAAATATTGCATTAAATTGAAGTAATTAAAAAGCCAAATCACGAAGCAAAATATAACGTACAATATTAAATTTTTTAATGTAAAATTTCGAGTGATAGTTTAAACTCATATATACTTGCCTAAAGTCCTCCTGTACATTGCTAATATTTTTATAAAAAATGCAAAATATATGAGTAAAGAGAATTTAAGAAAAAAACATCATTATAAATCTGCAAATTTTTGATCAATAAATAGTATGCCTCAATTGTATCCATATATAACCACTTGGGAAAAAAAATTCTAGTACAATTATCGTGTACAATAAAAAAATACCATAATTCTAAAAATAAAAACCCAAATATATTTGAATAATTTATTTTGGTAATTTTTCCATTCTTATGGTAACGGTTAAATTCTCGTTTTCAAAATTATATTCCTTATTGCCAGACAAATAGTAAAAAATACAAAACTGAAAAATAAATTTAACCGAATAAATGAAATTTACGTCATGCTAATTAAGGTATGCTAATTTCTAATTACAGCAATACAAACCATCTCATATATTAGTTAAAACAACTCTTATCAAACCAAATGTTCCTCATAAAAGACTGTGACCTTAATTCATTTTCATTATCCGCAAGTATTGAGACAATGAATCTTTAAAGTGACATTTTAGTGGCTTAGACTACTAAGCTCTTAAGTTTATACGTTGAAAGGGGAAAATAAAGATCATGACTTATTATTAATTTTTCTACGCAAGAATCATAACATTTTCACTTATTGCGTTTCAATTTATATCAAAACACAGATTTTTAAAGGTTACTCATCCCTTATTGGTTTCCACATGTCTTCCTCTCCGAAAACTCTCAAAATATTATCAATTAGCAACATTTACAGAAGTGATTGAAAAATAAAGAATTGACAAAAATTGTGATTATTAAATAACAGTGAACGAGATCTTATTCCGTACTTTCTTTTTACATTCAGATCCTTGTCTTACTAAACATTTCCTTTATACTTTAAGCTTAATTTTCGAAAGCACTATCATCACTTGTAATGATGTTTTTTTTTATTTCATATTTTCTAACCGATGCTGAACAGCCGCCCCAATTCTGAATTTACGGCTATCAATGTTTAACTACGTAGTTTTGAACCCAACACAGAAGACAAGAGAACTTCTGAATAACGCATTGGAGCAAACTAGCTTTCATGAAGCACGTTTCGATATGAATTAACCCGCATTTACGTTCTATGGAAAGGACAACCATGAAAACAATCCACGATTAGCCTGGTGGCAACAGGACTCTAACCGATAATCCGTTTACCATTGAGGATATTTTACTTCATCACTGTTGTGCAAGTCAGGTGCAAAATTCGTAACGATCAGCCATCTTTGGGATTCGAATCTAAGCCGCCTCATTGAGAAGCGAGCACTCTATCCATTGAGCAACAGCAACACAGCGAGTTTTTTAAATAA